ATGAAAGACCTACAGCCAACATCACATTCCATGGGCAAAAACTAAAAGCATTTCCCTTAAGAACAGGAACAAGATGAGGATGCCCACTTTTGCCACTCTTATTTAACATAGTACTGGAAGTCTTAGCCACAGCAATCAGACAGGAAGAAAAATTTAAAAGGATACAAATTGGAAAGGAGGAAGTGAAACTGTCATTATTCGCAGATGACATGATACTATATGTAGAAAACCCTAAAGACTCCATCAAAAATTTACTCGACTTACTAAATGAATTTGCCAAAGTAGCAGGATACAAAATGAATATCAAGAAATCGATGGCATTCTTATACACCAATGATGAATTCACAGAAAGAGAAACTGAAAAAACAATCCCATTTACCATCGTGGCAAAAAAATTAAGATACCTAGGAATAAACTTAACCAAGGAAATAACAGACCTATTCACAGAAAACTAGAGGTCACTGAAAAAGAAATAGAGAAAGATATAAAAAAGTGGAAGCACATACCTTGTTCATGGGTTGTAAGAATCAACAATATTAAAATGTCCATACTACCCAAAGCAATCTATAGATTCAGTGGAATCCCCATCAAAATACCAATGACATACTTCACAGAACTAGAACAAATACTTCAAAAGTTCATATGGAACCAAAAAAGACCCTGAGTAGCCACAGCAATCTTGAAAAAGAAGAACAAAGTTGGAGGGATCACATTACCAGATTTCAGGTTATACTACAAAGCCACTGTACTCAAAACAGCCTGGTACCAGCACAAGAACAACATATAGACCAGTGGAACAGAATAGAGAACACAGAAATTGACCCAAGGCAATATGCTCAATTAATATTTGACAAAGGTGGCAAGAGCATACAGTGGAGTCAAGACAGCCTGTTTAATAAATAGTGTTGGGAAAATTGGACAGCTACATGGAAAAAAAATGAAACTAGACCATCAACTTACACCATACACAAGAATAAACTCAAAATGGATAAAAGACTTAAATGTGACTCATGAATCCATAAAAATCCTAGAAGAAAATGTAGGCAACAAAATATCAGACATCATACCCAGCAGAATTTTCACTGATACATCACCTAAGGCAATAGAACAAAGGAGAAAATGAATACATGGGACTACATCAAACTCAAAAGCTTCTGCACAGCAAAAGATACAGTCATAAAAATGGAAAGACAACCGACAGTATGGGAGAGCATAATTTCCAATGATATATCAGTTAAGGGGTTAATTTCCAAAATATATAGAGTGCTCATACAACTCAACAAAAGGAAAACAAAGAACCCCATTTAAAAATGGGCAGACGAACTAAATAGACACCTCTCCAAACAGGACATACAAATGGCTAAGAGACATATGAAGAAATGCTCAACATCACTAACCATCAGAGAGATGCAAGTTAAAACAATGAGGTATCACCTCACACCTGTCAGAATGGCCGCCATCAACAAATCATCAAACCACAAGTGTTGGCAAGGGTGTGGAGAAAAGGGGACTCTAGTACACTGCTAGTGGGAATGCAGACTGGTGCAGCCACTATGGAAAACACTATGGTGTTACCTCAAAAAATTAAAAATTGAACATCCGTTTGACCTAGTGATCCCACTTCTAGGAATATACCCTAAGAAGCCTGAAACACCTATCAGAAAGAATACATGTACCCCCATGTTTGTAGCAGCACTATTTACAATAGCTAAGATCTGGAAGCAGCCCAAATGTCCATCAGTAGATGAATGGATAAAAAAGCGGTGGTACATATACACAATGGAGTACTATGCAGCTGTAAGAAAAGAAAGTTATTTTATGTTTTGAGACAACATGGAGGGGCCTGCAAAGTATTATCCTAAGCAAAACAAGCCAAACAGAGAAAGACAAATATCATATGATCTCACTTATTTGTGGAATATAATGAACATAACAGTCTGAGGAATGGGGTAGTCCCAGAGACGTGGAAGTGGGGTACAGACTGACAGTCCCCAGAAGAGGGGGTGGTTGGTGAGATATAAACCACAGAACTTATATGCATGTGTTTATGAACAATGGACTTGGACAACAAAGCTGGGGACAGGGCGGGGAGGGGGGAATCAGTGGGGGGGGAAATGAGAAACATCTTTAACAAAAATTAATTAATAATAAGAACAAGATGATTGTACTAGATTACTTCAATGTTTTTTTTTCCCCCACTGTAAAGTCTTTCATACTTTACTATCATTTTTAGCCATGCTATAAAAGAACATATATTTGACACCTGGCAAAAAACCTGAATCTTCTACCTTTTTTTTCCCCTTACGATGAAAACTCTTATGATCTACTCTTTGAACAACTTTCAAATGTTCCATACAACAGTGTTAACTATAGTTACATGTAGTACATTACATCCCCAGTACTTATTAACTTATATCTGGTAATTTGCATCTATAGACCACCTTAATTCATGCCTTTTTGTTTAAAAACAATAATAAAACAGTAATAGTCAGTGAAAGCTTCCAAGGTAAGTCATTTCCATCCCAGTAGTACTTCTCTTCACTTGTTCAAACACTTATTGAACAAGTTTGTTACCATTCTAAGTGGTGAAGATACAAATACAAAAACAAAACAAAACAAAGAAGATAGGAAAATGAAGAAAAATTTTATTATAAATATAAGTAATAAAAATTAAAAGTGTTGCCCTGCTGGTGTGGCTCAGTAGATTGAGCATCCATCCTCCTTGGGACTGAGAGGTCCCAGTTCCATTCCTAGTGCTCAATCCCCGGTAGGGGGCGTGCAAGAGGCAGTTGATGGATGTTTCTCAGGATGTTTCTCTCTCTCTTTCTAAGAGAGAGAGAGAGAGAGAGAGAGAGAGAGAGAGAGAAACCAATTTAAAAAAATAAAATAAAATAAAAATCTTGACCTTAAACAAAAAGTCAGGCAGATATTTCTCCAGCATAATTGGTTTAATCAGGTACAACAAAGAATTGCAATCCAGAACATGTAACCGAGGGCCGCCGGGGGTGGGGGTGGGGGTGACAAATGCAAGTCTGCTAAAGAAAAGGAGAAGGAACTCTTTTATAGAGGGAAAGAAGAAGTTGGGAGGGCAGTTACAAAGAGTTCTCCCAGGAGCTGCAATGGTGCAATCAGTTACCACGTGGTACTTATACAAAGAGTTCTCCCTGCTGTGCTTCGTGATTGACATAGGGCTTGAGAGCTCCCCTCCTGCTCTTTCCACTTCATTTTGAATGAAGTTTCTGGTTGTTTGTTTGTTTGTTTGTTTGTTTGTTTTTTTCACAAGGGTGATAAATGCTACAGAGATTTATATATTTTAGCTCAGGGGAGGGATGCTTAACCCATCTGGGCATGAGGCATCAGGCACCAGGGAAGTTTTCCTAGAAGAGATGATATCTAAAGTAAAGGTTGAAAGGCCAGCAGGAATCAGCCAAATGAGGAAGGTAAAAAAGGATGATCCAGACAGAGGCACCAGTCTGTGTAAAAGCAAGAACTATAAATGGTGCCGGTTGGCTAGAAGATAAAGGTGTGGTGTCTCTATTAGTCCACCAAGATATTATGGTCATAGATTGTAGAAGCACATAGGAACATGTTCTTTTTTTAATCCTCACCCGAGGATGAGAGGGACACATCCACCGGTTGCCTCCCACAGGACCCCAACCAGGGCTGGGGACAAACTACAACCGAGGTACATGCCCTCAGCCAGAATCAAACCTGTAACTCTTTGGTCTGTGGGCTGACGCTCTAACCAGTGAGCCAAACCAGCCAGAAGGGAACACATTTTTAATGTTTTCTTAGGCTGTGTAGTGTAGCCCATATACATTTTTTTTTTTAAACTAAAAATCATACCACTGACTAACCCATCTCGCAGCTTCCTCTTTTATAGTTACTTGTGAAATAGGCATTTATGAGAGCCAAAGAGAGGGTCATTTACATAAAACTTTTTTATGTAAATAAGCCACTGAGATGTTTCTCTACTAGGAAAGGGAGCCCTATAGCTCAGTCACATGTTTAAGGTTAGATAATGAGAACAGAACTTGAGGTAAGAAAACATCAGAAGGTCTCAGGATGTTTGGGGGTAAAGGGAGGAATAGGTATTTCATGCATAGAGTATCTTAGAAGCACAGGAGAAGCCTAAGCTTCATTCAAGAGTTACATTGCCTTAGGGTAGTGATTTTCAACCTTTTTCATCTCATGGCACATATAAACTAATTACTAAAATTCTGCAGCACACCAAAAAATATATTTTTTGCCTATCCGACAAAAAAAAAAAAAAAAAAAAAAAAAAAAAGGTATAATTTTGATTCATTCACACCAAATGGATATTGTTGTGTTGGCTGTTGTCATTTTTTTATTTGGCAATCTAAGGAAAAAGTGTTCAGTGCCCCCTGACCAAACAGTCAGGTATTGCATGTTTTAAAAATTCTTGCAGCCCTGGCTGGTTTGACTCAGTGGTTAGAGCGTCGGCCTGCAGACCAGTGAGTCGCAGGTTCAATTCTGGTCAAGGGCACGTACCTCGGTTGCGGTTCATTGCTGGCCCTGGTGAGGTCATGTGGTTGGCAACCAGTGGATGTTACTCTATTACATCAATGTTTCTCTCTCTCTCTCTCTCCCTCCGTCCCTACCACTCTATCTGATAATAAGTAGAAAAATATCCTCAGGTGAGGAATAAAAAAAGTTCTTGCAGCACACTAGTTGAAAATCACTGCCTTAGAGCATGATCCAAGAGAACTAGTTATTTGCACTTTCTAGAAGCAGACAAGAGTACATCATTAACCTGCCAATTCTATTTTATTTAGCCTATCTCATAAAAGTTTTCTCACTCTGACTGCATCTCACAAAAATGTTATTTGTGGAATATGGAAATCAAATATCCCTGAATGAGCCCTCTTGCATGATATCAGCCCTTTGCATCACACTCTGCAAGAAGGTTCATGTCACGAAATATGTCCACTGTAGAGGCTGTGGTTACCATCTCCTGTGGCTATCCCTTTTCTTTTCAGACTACTGTGTGCAGTGTGAAAAAGCGGCCTGATTTCTCCACTTCAGGCCAATGGGAGGTGGTCACAGAATCTGAAGGGAAAAAGGAGATGAATGTCTTCGATGGAGTCATGGTTTGTACTGGCCATCATACCGATGCTCACTTACCCTTGGAAAGCTTCCCTGGTGAGTAGCCTACCTGGAAGAAAGACCCTTGAACCATACCTGATCCGGAGGAATGAGGGGTTTCAGTCTGAGTGATTCCTATCTTGGGATGAAACAAGGCTTATCCTAATTTTGCATGTTCCCCTGAAACATTGGGAGGTAGAGATAATGGTGATTTTGGAGACTAGAGGAAAGTTAGAGGGCTCTGTATTTAGTTTCACAATGACTTTAGTTTTTCTAAGGATCACAAGAAAAAATGTGGAATTGATGTGCACTAGGTTGAATAAGGATTTTCAGCAATCAAGGAAACAAATAGAAATATTGAGTTTATAAGGAAGAAAATAAAGCTTAAGGAGAAAATTTATTACAGTTTCGAGCCTAAATTTTTAGGCCCAAGAGCACTCTATGTATATTTTAGAGTTTATAAAAATATATACTCCAATTGAAATGGGAGTAGGTATTTAAAGAGGATGAACAGACAAAAGAGAATGGAGGTTTTTTTGAAACCATTTGTATGCTTGAGTCTACAAGTCCAAAATACAGATCCTGAGTGAAGCAGACTGTTTACGATGAGGGAGGCAAAAGGTTCTGCCCTGACACTATGGGGGAAAAAATAGGCAAAAATGTTCAGAAAGGCAAGGATGCAGCTGAGTAAAGGGAGAACATATGGAGAGTATATGTGTAAACTCCACACACTGCAAAAAAAAAAGTATTTGTTAAATGATATTAGATAAGCTATCACCTGATAATTATTTCCCCTTCTCTTGCAGGAATTAAGACATTCAAAGGACAGTACTTCCATAGCCGAGATTATAAGAATCCAGAGAGTTTCACTGGAAAGAGAGTCATTATAATTGGCATTGGAAATTCTGGAGGAGATTTGGCTGTGGAGATTAGCCACACAGCCAAGCAGGTTTGAATTAGCAAATTATTTACTTTGCTTCACCAAGAAAGCTGCAGGTGGACTCAACAGAGAGTACGGACACCTGCACACTGCTCATCAGTGCTGATGGCAAATGTAGGGCTTGGTTTCATTGCCTCACTTGGCAACTTTATGATTGATGATATATGATGGAGCCAAGGTTGCCAGTTCGATTCCCTACATCCACTTGGCCTCACACGAAGGAATTAGGTCATGAGCACAGACTGTTCTCAGAATCCCAATCAGCTGTCTTTTCAGAGTGTGCCTCTGGCTTTGAAGAAGACCAAATAATTGATTGGGCGAGCTTGTCAGAATGCAGCACTCAAAGTGTGGCTCTTCTGTTGGCCAGTGGAAGCGCTATGGTCTTATGTGAAGGAACGCACACTGGGTCATTGAAAGCTTTTCACTCATAGGATGGTGGGGGAATTTTCCTCTTTATTCCCCAAATGGAAAAAAGAAGTAGTCTAATCTTTCCAAAGACAGCATGCTTAGCACTCTGAAAGTGTCCACACTGCAGCACCAGCAGGCAGCTCGCCCAGCCTTTGCATGCAGTTAGGTAACAGAATGATATTTTTCTCTAAAGCAACTTCTGCGTCCTTGAGGGTTTTTTGTTTGTTTGTTTTGTTGCATAAATTTTGAACTAGGAAGAAAGTGTCTTCATTATAAATACTTAGAAAAAAGACATGTCATTTTTATATTTTGTTATTCATGTCTTCATTGAATCATAACTGTCCACAGTAGTTAAATGTCTGGTTGTTCTTCAGTAACTTTAATTAAGCTGTGCTTCTCCACACCTACATTTTAAAAGTGTTTTCTAAAAATAGAAGCTTAATGCCACAACTTTGTTAAATGACCTTTACTCAGAAACTCCATTCAATAACACTTCTTCTCAGTCCTCTCCCCATCTGTTACCACAAAAGTGATTTCAGACGCTCCCTGAATTAATTCACCACGCATTTATCAGGAGATAGCTATATAAATAAAGGGTAAAAATGTGTGTGGGTGTTACGATAAAAAGAGTGTGCAAGGTATGTGGTGGGGACCCAAGGCATGAGCCTTCTTTAATATCATTGACCTGTCAAATGGTCAGTTATAAAGATTGCCAAGGAACAAAACATCCAGACTGGGAGGAGATACAGTAGCTGTGTCTGAGTGAGCCTGGGAAAACACATAGCAAAACAATGTCGGCCTAGCAGGGACAGCACTGTCACACAACTGAAGCAAGCTGAAGAAACTCAATTGCTAGGTTCTGACTTTTTGCTTTATATATTAAATTGTACTTATCAGAGGTGGCTTGTAAATCAAACATTTACAATGAACCTATACATTTCGGTGTATCAAGAACATTTTGGTGTAAGAATCTTGAGCTAGCCCTGGCCGGTTTGGCGCAGCGGTTGGAGCGTCGGCCTGTGGTCCAGAGAGACCCGGGTTTGGTTCCCGCTAAGGGCACGTACCTCGGTTGCAGTTTGTCCCCAGCCCTGGTTGGTCATGCGGGTGGCAGCCACTCGATGTGTCCCTTCACATCGATGTTTCTCTCTCTCTCCCTCCCGCTCTATCTGAACAAAAAATGGAAAAATGTCCTTGGGTGAGGATAAAAAAAAAAAAAAAAGAATCTTGAGCTATAATGCTTTGTAAAGAGAAAACATTCCTTTCTTGTAGAACAATTTTCCTTATATTTGATTCTTATAAATCCAAATTTGTAAATATGCTGTTTACTTAAAACAAGGGATAGATGGAAAACTGAAATAAGTATGGTGATAGCCATTAAACATTTATTGAGTATTTACTGTAGGTCACACCCTTTACAAAAATACTGTTTCTTACAAAAACTTCGTGCTATATGTATTATTGTCACTGTTTTATACGTAGGAAACCTTTTCATTGAGGCCCTGAGCATTTACATTACTCATATACTTATATAACAAAAGTTACACAGACTGTACACAAAACTATTTGATTCCTTCGACCATACTTGCTCTTTCCATTGTGATATGTAAAAGTGCTTCATTGTGATAGCATTAAGTCCAGGTCACTGTCGGTGAGAATGTGTGTGAAATGCATGATTATCCCTAAGTGCAGACAGGTTCCCTTTTCACTTACAGCTAAGACTAAAGAGCATAAAGTAATGTACTTAAATACCTTACAACTAGAAACTATCTCTAGAGAATTGTGTAATGTAGAGAAAGGGATACTTTTGCCTGGTAATTCAATATCAAACTTTTATCAGCTCTGAACATGGACTTCAGCTGACAGAGGACATAAAAAGACTGACAAGTTTCCTGTTATTCTACTAGCAATCTTCAGTTTTTCCATTAAATAATCAATGAAACATTTCACAAGTACAGACTTCGGCATGAGTCAGGCCTGGGTTGGAAAGTCAGCTCTGCCACTTACTAGCTGTATGATCTGAGGCAAGTTATGCATCTTCTCCATGCCTCTCACCCATAAAATGGGGATAATAATACCTACCTCAAGAAGTTGTTGTGTTGATTAAATAAGATACAGATAAAGGACGTAGCACAGTGATGTACGGGTCATAACACTCAATAAATGGAAGTGATGATGATGTGTATGCTATACCTTCTCTCTGAGGGAAAACACTTGGAGGGCCAGAAAAAAGACCGTTTAACTTCACACATATATTTTCACCGATGGTGACCTTAAGGGCTGTCCTAATTAAGCACTTTACACAGTTGAAAGGGGAAAAAAGTTTAATATTAATAAAAATTATAGATAACAGGTTTTTTTGTAATAACGTAAACAATGTCAAAGGCAAAAGAGACTGAGGAGTTTGGGTTAAATGATTTCCAGTTGCTTTCGGCTTTATCATTCCATGGTTTTAAATGGGTCGAACAGATGGTAAGTGCTAGATAATTCTGAGGATGGAGAGAAAATTGTCAGCCAGAACAGTCAGCAATGTCTTCATGGAAGAGGCAGACTTGACCTGGATCTTAAAAATGAGTAGGCTTTGGAAAATTAAGAGGATAGGGGCTTTTCAGGGAGGCATAATGACATTAAGCAGAAATGCATTGGTGACTAAGAGCAAGACATATTCTTGGTCAGTGAATACACCAATTTAATTGTAAGCTTAGTGTCCGACAAGGAAAATAGCAGGAAATAAAAAATAAAAAAAAAGGTTGTGCAGGCACTGAAAAGCCAGACTAATGAGTTTAAACTTACTCTTGAAGAAAACGGGGTACTTTTAAAGGAGTATGAACCAGAGAATGGTAAAAGCAAACAATTTTTTCCCACACCCCAGGTTTTCCTCAGCACCAGGAGAGGGTCTTGGATTGTGAATCGTGTATCAGACTATGGATATCCTTTTGATGTGTTGATCAATTCTCGGCTTAAACATTTTTTGAACAAGTTTTGTAGTCAATCATTAGTAAACAAATATTTGGAAATGAGGATGAACCAAAGGTTTGACCACGAAATGTATGGCCTAAAGCCTAAACACAGGTATGTTCTCAGGATGGGATTGGGGAGGTAATAGCCAAAGCACAAAAATAAGGACTGTTCACATAGGCTAAAAGTAGAGCTACCTGTACACATTAAGAAAATCCACAGAATCTGAGATCAGATTTCTACCTTGCCCAAGATCTACTAATCAGTAATCTTTGTTCTATCATTCTCCTTGGCATTAACCATCTGATCATATCCCAAGGAACCAATTCTTTTGTTATTATTATTATTATTATTGATTTTTAGAGAGAGAAAGGGAGAGAGAGGAGAGAGAGAGAGAGAGAAGAACATCAAGTGAGAGAGACACATTGATTGGTTACCCCCACACGAGCCCCAGAGAAGGAATGAACCTGCAACCTGGGTATGTGCCCTGACCGGGAATCAAACCCACCACCTTTTGGTGTACAGGAGGACGCTCCAACCAACTGAGCCACACTGGCCAGGGTGGTACTAGTTCTTTTCATGTGCTGTCCAACAACAAAATGGTAGTAGAGGGCAGTGTATCATTCATTCATCCAACAAACATTGAGCACCTTTTATGAGCCAAGCATTATACTGGGCATGAGCATATAGAGATTAAGGATATAATAATACTAATACAGATAATAACACCTTACCTTTTTGAGGACTTAATTTAAGACAAACACAGTACTAAATGAGTTACATGCATTACCTCATTTAACCCTCATAACAGCCCTACAGACTTCGTTTTCCCTCCATTTTACAGACATAAAAAGTGACACTTAGAGAAACTATCCCCAGAGGACACAAGAAATAAATGGCAGATTCAAGAAGTGGATTTTACCTTAAATATTCTAACAATAAGACAAACAATAGAATGAGGTAAAGAAATGCATGAAGAATGGGAATCTTTACACAGCCAAGGAGGAAGACTGTAAAAACATTTCTAGAGGCTGATTTTAAATGCTTTTTCCTCCAACATTTCATTTTTTTCAATGTTCAGATTTACTTCATACAAAATAGTAAGTACAGTAAACACCCATATACCCTTCACTTAGATTCCTCTATTATTAATAGTTCACTATATTTGCTTTTTCTCTTTTGCACTCTCCAAAGATAGATCCATACATGTATATCATACATATATATTTTCTTCTGAACCACTTCAATAGTAAGTTGCAGCCATTAAGACACTTTACCTTAGCCTGGTCAGTGTGGCTCAGTGGATTGAGCGTCATCCCATGGACTGAGAGGTCCTGGTTCAAATCCCAGTCAGGGCACATGCTCAGGTTGCAGGCTTGATCCCCAGTAGGGGGCGTGCAGGAGAGACTGATTGATGTATCTCTGTCACATCAATGTTTCTGTATCTTTCTCTAAAAAAATCAGTAAAAGCATATTTAAAAAAAGTTTACCCTAAATTATTCAACATATATTGTCTGAGAAAAGGAGCATTTTACTACATAAACATAATACAATTATCACACTTGGAAAATTTGACATTGATAAAATACCATTATCTAATATATTCAACTTTACCAAGTTGCTCCAATAATATAGATTTTATAGCTTTTTTATTTTTTTCACACAGGAGGTTTTTTTAAAAAAAATATGTGTTAAGTGATCTTTTAGAGAGAGAGAAAGGGAGAGACAGATAGAAACATTGATGTGAGAGAGAAACATCGATTGGCTGCCTCCTGCACGTCCCCTACTGGGGATTGAGCCCGCAACCCTGCCATGTACCCTGACCAGGAATCGAACCAGGACCTCTCAGCTCATGGGATGATGCTCAATCCACTGAGCCATACTGGCCAGGCTAGCTTTTTTATTTTAAAATCCAAGATCCTGTCAGGTATTACAACATTACATTTAGCTGCCATGCCTCTTTAATTTCTCTTAATCTGAAATAATTCTCCTTTAAAACAAAACAAAACTCAAGCTAATTGTTTTGCAGAAAGTCTGCATGGACTGGCATAGTTTTTCTTCCTTTATTATATTCAGGTTAAACATTTTTGGCACAAATACTCATAGGTTATGTTGTGCCTTATTGGTAGATCACATCAGGAGACACATGATAGCAGTTTATTCCATATTAACAATGTTCAATTTGATCACTTGGATAAGGTGGTATCGACCAGATTTCGCCTCTAAAGATTTTTCTTTCTTTTGACATTAATCAGAGGGGTGCTATTTTGAGGATCTGTTCCCTAACAACCTTTCATCTATTTATTTCACCCAAATTATGGAAATTGTAGCATCCATAACTTTGGTGATTATAAAATAAATTGAATACGAAATAATAGGAGATAGTCAAGCAAATAGGGTAAGGAAGTAGCATTCTAATTATAACTTAAGATCTTGGAATAGCATAAGAATATGCTCTGGGATCGGCATTTAGTCTGGTTTGGCTGGACCATCGGGGAAAGATGGAAGAGTGACCGAGTATGTCTCCAGGCTCACTGGGAAGGTTCATGAAAACCTCTGTAGGCTTTGCTAAATAAAAAGTTTGGAATGAAGGGCAGTCCAGATGAATTGCGAGATGTTAAGCAAGTGAGTGACATAATAATAAATGCATTTTAGAACCACTCCAAAAATGATGTAGAAGATAGATGGAGGAGGGGTGGAGCAGGAGGCCCTAAAGACAACTATAAGAGTCCAGGTGAGATGGAAAATAGATTTAACTATTCTGGGGATGTTACGAAGAGAAAAGGAAAAGACTTGGTGACCAGATGTAAGATGCACTGTTTTGTGGCTTAGGTAATTATGTGGATGGTGGTACTGTTAGTGAAAACAAGAATGTTGGGAGAAAAAGATGAAATCATGAGGTAGGAATAAGAACAAAATCTGTACCTAAAAGTCAAAGCATTACTAAATGCAACAAACCAGTAATAGTTACTTAAACAGTATGTTCCTGAGGCTAGGTCAGCTCTGTCTGAACAAGATGGGTGAGAATTCTCAGAGCCAGGGGTTCAGACTGCTTTTTAGAAAGTTCCAAGACACTGAAAACCCTGCTTATTTTTTGGCACCCTTATCCTATGCTATCCTTAGGGAACACTACTTACCAGGCCCAGAGGATCCCAAGAAATTTCATAGAAAACCATTTTGATATAAATTCTAAAATCCTAGGCTGTGTCACCTTGGGCAAGCCACTTAACTTCTTTAAACCTCAGTTTCCTCGTCAATAAAACCTGGATAATGACAGCTGTTCTGCTTTACTCATTGGGTTTGTGTGAGACTCAACTAAATTAGTGTATGTAAAATCAATTTATAACTATAAGTTACTATGCATATGTAATTTATTATACAATTTGGAAAATGATGGCCTAGCCCTTGGGTCTTTGAAACTGGAAATGAGACTCAGCAGAATGCTGATAGTCCAGTTCTCTATAGCTCTTGCCATATGGATAAAAACTCCTGGCCTGTGGCCTTATTATATCACTGAGAACATTACTATTCCTTGAGAAACCATACATGCACTCTCCAAGTAAAACCATTCCTCCTTCACTTCCCCAACATCTGTCCTTTCAGTGCCATCCAGGGTCCAACTTCTGCTCTGAGATCCTGATCAGTGCCAGTGTACATTGGACCTTTCCCAAACTCCAAGGATAGACCAAGAGAGAGACCATTGGCATATTGTTTAACCACCTCCATCAAAGTAGGATTTTACATGTTACTGATTTCTCTCTTTCTCCCTGCCCCCATTTCTCCTTCTTTTTGGTTTTGATCACCACTCACAGAGCTCTGAGTCAGCATCCAACAGTGAATGATGACCTGCCAAATCGTATCATTTCTGGCTTGGTGAAGGTGAAAGGAAATGTGAAGGAATTCACAGAGACAGCTGCCATATTTGAAGATGGCTCCAGAGAGAATGACATCGATGCTGTTATCTTTGCCACAGGCTATACCTTTGCTTTTCCTTTCCTAGAAGATTCTGTCAAAGTAGTAAAAAACAAGGTATCCCTGTATAAAAGGGTCTTTCCTCCTAACTTGGAAAAGCCAACTCTTGCAATTATAGGCTTGGTCCAGCCCTTGGGTGCAATTATGCCCATTTCAGAACTCCAGGGTCGCTGGGCCACTCAAGTATTTAAAGGTAAGTAACTATGCAAGTTGACTACTTAATTACTCACTGGTATGTTTAATTATGTTTATGTTCTTGCTTTTATTTTTATTTATTTTTTCTCTCTCTTTTATTCTGTTTATTTTTTATTTAAAAATTTTAATGTTGACACAATATTTCCCCACCCTTTGCCCATTCCACTCACCCCTGCCTCCCCCTCCTTGGCCCTCACCATATTATTGTCAGTGTCCATGGGATATGCATATATTTCTTTAGCTAATCCCTTCACCTTCTTTATCCAGTCACCCCCACCTCCCTCCTGTTGGGCATCAGTCAGTCTGTCCCATGTATCCATGCTTCTGGTTCCATTTTGTTCATTAGATTCCACATAGTAATGGGATCATATGGTATTTGCCTTTTTCTGACTGGCATATTTTACTTAACATAGTACTTTCCAGGTCCATCCATGCTGTTGCATGGATGCAAAGGGTATGCTCTTGCTTTTAAATAGCTGAGACAGTATGTAAGATTCAACCTCTCAAATTCTCACTTCTAGGAAAACGTAGCCTTGAGAAAAAAAACTTCAGGGTTTGGGATAGTCGGCTCAATGTGAGTCAGCAGAATGATGTGGCTTTCAAAGGGCTTCCTTATATCTAGAATTATTAAAAAATTATAATTCCTAGAACTTACAGTTGTTCTCTAAACTGGTCGGAGTACAGCCAAAGATATGCTTTAAAAGTGCAACTGGAGTGCATTAAAAGGAGAAACAAGATGAGTGGATAAAAAGCTGTGGTACATGTACACAAGGGAATCATTATGCAGCTGTAAGGAAGAAAGGTCTTTTACCCTTTGAGACGACATGGAGGGACCTGGCGAGTATTATGCTAAGCGAAATAAGCCAGTTGGAGAAAGACAAATTATCACATGATCGCACTTATTTGAGGAATATAATAAAATAAGCTGATGAACAAAATAGACCCAGAGACATGAAAGTAGGGAACAGACTGACAAACCTCAGAGGGAGGTGGGGTGGGAGAGCGGGAAGAGATAAACCAAAGAACTTATATGCATATATGCATAACCAATGGACGCACTCAACAATTCTGGGGCGGGGGGTGAACAGGAGCGGAGTGGAGGATGTCAATGGGGAAAAAAGGATATCTATAACAAAAAATAATAATTAAAAAAAATTTTTGCCCTGGGTGGTTTGGCTCAGCGGTTAGAGTGTCAGCTTGTAGTCCAGAGAGACCCCTGTTCATTTCCCGCTAAGGGCATGTACCTCGGTTGCAGTTTGTCCCCGTCCCTGGTTGGGTCGTGCGGGAGGCAGCTACTTGATGTGTCCCTTTCACCTCGATGTTTCTCTCTCTCTCTCTTCCTCCCACTCTATCTAAACAAAAAATGGAAAAATGTTCTCGGGTGAGGATTAAAAATAATAATAATAATTTTAAAAACTTTTTAAAGAGCCCTGGTCAGTTTGGCTCAGCAGTTAGAGCATTGGCCCGCGGACCAAAGAGTCCCGGGTTCGGTTCCCACTAAGGGCATGTATCTTGGCTGCACTTCATCCTCGGTCCCTGTTGGAGTTGTGTGGGTGGCAACCAGTCAACGTGTCTCTCTCACATCAATGTTTCTCTCTCTCTCTTCCTCTCTCCCTCCCAGTCTGAAGATAAATGTAAAAATGTCCTCAGGTGAAGATAACAAAAAAGAATTAGTAAAATATTCCCAGCCGGTGTGGCTCAGTGAATGAGCCTCCACCCATGCACCAAGAGGTCACCAGTTCATTTCCTGGGCAGAGTATATGCCTAGGTTTCAGGGTCAATCTTTACAGGGGACATGCAGGAGGCAAGCCATTGATGTTTCTCTCTCATCGATGTTTCTCTCTCTCTCTCCCTCTCCTTTTCTCTCTCTCTAAAAATCAATAAAAACATAAAAAAGAATTCGAATAATAGATAATAGGCATTGGCAAGGACATAAGGAATGGGAACACTGTTGGTTATAATGAGGTTCAGGACCTGCTACTCTAAAATATGGCACCATGGCATATTGAATATCTGCAGTTGAAGGAATTTGAAAAACAGGCAAAAGCAGGAAGATCACTCTGACCCTCTGTTCTTGCCCTTCTTCTCTGAAATACTTCACAAAACTCCCACGTGAATGGTATCCTCACTGTACCAAGAGGAAGGAAAACATTCTTATCACCAGAAACAGGGAATTTGGGGCTGGGAAATCTGTACAAACAAACCTGGTCAAACTAACCCTTATCTTACTAGTTACTTCTTCACCATTTACCACTTCTACACTGAACCCGTTTATCTTTTCAATTTAAGAAAGAGAAAGAGAGAGAGAGAAAGAGACAGAAAGAGAGAAAGAAAGAGAGAAAGAGAGAGAAAGAAAGGAAAGAAAGAGGAAGGAAGGAAGGAAGGAAGGAAGGAAGGAAGGAAGGAAGGAAGGAAGGAAGGAAGGAAGGAAGGGAGGGAGGGAGGGAGGGAGGGAGGGAGGGAGGGAGGGAGGGAGGGAGGGAAGGAAGGGAAGAAGGAAAGGAAGGAAGGAAGGAAGGAAGGAAGGAAGGAAGGAAGGAAGGAAGGAAGGAAGGAAGGAAGGAAAGGAAAGGAAAGGAAGAGAGAAAGAAAGGAAGAAAGAAAGAAAGAAAGAAAGGAAGGAAGGAAGGAAGGAAGGAAGGAAGGAAGGAAGGAAGGAAGGAAGGAAGGAAAGAAAGAAAGAAAGAATTATGTTAGGGAGGAATCCGGTATTGGTTGGAAGGCAGAATTAGGAGAAATACCTTCCAAAGACAAAGTGGAATAGAGAAAGCCACTGCTGTTAATATCATTATATTGTGGTGGTGGTAGGATAAGGTGATCAAGTGAAAGTGGAACCTCCTTGAGTACAGAAAACTACCCTTGTTTCTTTGAATTCTCCATAACATAGTAACTGTTAATAGGATTATTGTTCCTACTGAGATAGCTTTACTCTTACATTTTTGTTTTTTCTCTTTAGGGCTAAAGACATTGCCCTCACAAAATGAAATGATGACAGAAATAATTAAGGAGAAAGAGAAGATGCAAAAAAGGTGAGAAATTCTCCCAGGAAAGTATGTGCTTAATCTTTTTACTTAATAACAACATTGTACTATATTTATCTTCATTGTGTTAGTTTAAGGATTTAGATTGTATATTGAAGGAAAAGTAATAAAAGTTTGTGACCATAGGATGAAGCAATAGTACCAAGTGGTTTGGATATGGATGGGAGAGACAAGCTAAGGAAAGTGTTTAACATCCTGTTGAGGGATTGATGTTGCTATCTCTCTCTTCCTCTCCCTTCTTCTCTCTCTCTCTAAAAAATCAATAAAGAGCCCTGGCCGGTTTGGCTTAGTGGTTAGGGCATCGGCCTGTGGTCCATAGAGACCCGGGTTAGGTTCCCGCTATGTGCACATACCTCAGTTGTGGTCTGTCCCCAGCCCTGGTTGGGTCATGCGGGTGGCAGCCACTCGATGTGTCCCTTTCATGTCGATGTTTCTCTCTCTCTCTCTCTCTCTCCCTCTCTCCCTTTCTCCCTCCCACTCTATCTGAACAAAAAATGGAAAAATGTCCTCGGGTAAGGATAAAGAAAAAAATCAATAAAGAAAAAAATATATATTACAATCCTGTTGAGGGCTTAAAAGAAAAGCCAAGTAGGAAAAAGCTCATGGATTGAAAATCAGGCAGATGGTTTTTGTAATGATTACTTAAAGGACTGGTCACGCTGCCAGAGAAAAAAATGAGTAACAATTGAGCAGTAGATATGGTCAAGTTCCAAATTTCCAAGTAGGTTTAGAAATCTGCAGAGGCCACTTTGTGGCTGTCATGTGACAGCACACTCAGATCACAGTGGCTCAGGGTATGAATAGTCTGTGTGATTTGGAAAGGTGGGAGCATCAGCCAGCTGCATGGTGCTTTGGTGGACACAGTAATTTAGCAATCTGAATTTCAGAACTGAGCTTATTCACTGGTTGATTTTTATTTGGACAAAGTGGAAATTGATGGTAAGTTCCTAAAATCATGTTTAAAGTCAGAGGTATATTCATTCCAGGCCTAAAGACGTGGTTTTCTTCAATTGGTTATACTACATAACTCTTCCCTACCTTGGAGGAGGAGAAAGGGAGTTTTTATTTAACCTTGCTACCTTTTCCAGGTACTCTGTTTTCCTTTCCTTTCACTGCCAAACTACTGCAATAAATATTCTGCATTATATGCTCTAAATCCTCACCCTTTCTCCCTCTGAAGGTCCCTGCGTTGTAATCCTACTACTGCTCTCCTGAAGGTTACCCATGACCAACTTCCTTTTCCTTCCTCTCTGCGTTTGACACTTTTAAACATCTCATCCTTCTTCGAGTGCTTTCTTTCCTTGTGTTTCTGGCACTAAAATATCCTATTTCAACTTTTCTCTTCCCTATACTTTGACTTATTTTTGTCTGGCCACCTGACTGAGCAGTCCCTAAGGATATAATTTACCCTTTATTTGAGGGCCCACTATGTACACTAAATGGTTTATATGTATGAGTTTATTTATTCCTCATAATAACCCTACAAGGCAGATACTAGTGAATCTCTTTGTGAAAGCTTCTGGAATACTACAGCTTGTGACCCAGTACTATAGGTTAAATGCATATTTATAAACCTTTAAGCCAACGTAACATCCATAAGGGAGAGCTCTCGCCTTCTTTCCTGTCTTCTTCTCTTCTGAGCTCCAGAATCTGTCCGTTCCTGTGGCATTTCATTTCATCGGTTCTACCTCAAATTTATTTTCTACTATTTTTTCCTGTCTTTGTTTTTGGATTCTTTTAAAACGCCCATCTAACTTCAAAATCTGACTTGGCTTTTTCTCTTACTTGCTTTCTGTCCCACTGCTCTTAGTTTTGTTTTAATTATAGAAAGTCAGAAAAAGAAAGTTACCAGCTAGCTCTCTAAATCTCACTCCTTCCACACAGGCATCGTCATTATCACATTTTCCCTCTAAAAAGCCCTTTTAGCTTTTCTTTATATATATACATATATATGTGTGTATATATATAAATTATATGTATATATATATATTTTTTTTCTTTATTGATTTTAGAGAGAGAGGAAGGGAGAGGGAGAGAGAGACAGAAACATCGATGAGAGAGAATATCCATTGGCTGCCTCCTGCATGCCCCTCACTGGGGTTTGGGCCCACAACCTGGGCATATGCCCTGACAGGGAATTGAACCAGCGACCTCTTGGTGCATGGGTCGATGCTCAACCACTGAACCACACCAGCCAGGTCCTTTGAGCTTTTCAAATTTGCACTCAGTGTAATCATTCCATCTGGCTCCATTTGGAGGGTCGCTTCCTCTTGTGGAATAAGTCATCCTTTCCCCTCCTTTCAAGATTCAGAATTAACATTGGCCCTCCAAAGTCATGCTCTGTGGACCCCACTACCACTGCCTTCATAAAACAGTTGAAGGTCCCAAACCTGAGAATTTTTGTAATGGATTCTCTTTCCAATAAAATCAGAGTCCTCTGTATCTGGATCTGCTATACTTACCTCTCTATATCCACCCTGTTTTCCACAGCACTCCTCCTGTACTGTAGGTAGCACCTACAGATATTTTATACTCACATTCTACACTTGTTTCTGCTTTATTCCTTCACTCTGCTATTCCCCTGACTTGTAATACTTTCCTCTTTTTTCTCAGTTTATCTATATCTTCTACACCCTTCAAGGACTTATTACAGCTCTATTTTAACTACCCTCTTCTACATTTCTATTTAGCAGTCTGAAACCACATGACTTGCCAAAAGTCTTATATTCTATGTTTCGTGTATATCTATCTTATCTCCTCTAATAGATTATAAAATTCTTAAGGACAGAGATACTGTTTTTCTTTCTTCTCTGTTTTCCATAGCTCCTAGACCAATATTGAGCCAATAACAGATATTTAGAAAGCACTGATTAATTGACTGATCAACTGATTAAATTGTTGATAAACCATGGCTTTTGTCTTCTCTGCTACAGGTATGTGGAGAGCCAGCGCCATACTATTCAGGGAGACTATTTCGATGTGATGGAAGAGCTTGCTGATCTGGTGGGTGTCAGGCCCAATTTGCTGTCTCTGGCCTTCACCGACCCCAAATTGGCATTACAGTTATTGTTGGGACCCTGTACTCCAGTCCAGTATCGTCTACAGGGTCCTGGAAAGTGGGATGGAGCTCGAAAAGCTATCCTCACCACAGATGATCGTATCAGGAAGCCTATGATGACAAGAGTAGTTGAAAGCAGCAATTCCATGACTTCAACAATAACAATAGGCAGGTTTATGCTGGCCATTGTTCTCTTTGCTATAATTATGACCTATTTTTAGCTGTTCCATTGTCATTGCCCCAGTTTTCTTTTGGGAGCTGGATCTAGAGATGCCTTCAGAATCTGACAAGATTGAACAACTCTTAGTTTCACACTGCCCAGAAATCTACTTGTAATTCTCTTTCCAAAGCAATAATCTTCTTTCCTCTTTTCCCTACAGTGAAATTCCAGCTTTTCATTCATATTGACTTATCTTCCTTCTTCTTATGACCCATCATGTTTTCTTTCTGGCAATCCCTAGACTATGAGCTCAGATAATATCTTATTCATCTCTTTATATCCTTACCAGAGTTCTTAACACATGATAGATGCTTAATAAATGTTTGTTGTTATCACATATTATGGTGGGGAACATAAGTCAGTATCTGTATAAGAAATTGACTTCTGATGGGATTTTTTTATTAGAAGCTCAATCTTTTGTTTTTAATATTGTAATAAAATAATATTGTAATAGTACTGTATTTTTCCTGTGGGATGAGAGAAGTAATGGTCTTGTAACAGTTGTATATACCTAAGACATATACATAAACATTTTGTCTCACTAGCTATTCACTAGTATATCTGATACTTGGCCATTTCAACTCTTTTCCCCAGCAAAAGGTCTTTATTATCTCAATGAAGAAACTACCTTCAACTTTCTAGGCTCATGGGTCATTCTAATAATCTAGCATTTGTCAGAAGACTCAACATGGTTGAAGAACTTGAGATTTTAAATCAGCTGTCCTATCTTTTTTGATCTCTTAGTTCTCATATTAGAATCCAACAAGACCTTTACCTTAGGAAATATGCTAAGTAGCTGTCTACTGTTGTAGTGTGGCCCACAAATGTGATTTTACTTACTCCCCCCCTCCCCGCCCCGCACTCGTGCTTTCTCCCCTCCAATCCTTCTTACATATAAAGTCTAACTAATAAATAAAATTTGTAAAATAAGTAAAATTTGAAGAGGTTATTTTTGTATTAAATTAGAATTGCTATTAACATATAGGGACATTCAGAGGGAAAGGAGGTGGGCAGGTAGCAAAGAGTAAAAGGGGTCAAATATATGGTGATGGGAGAAATTTGACTTCGGGTGGTGGGCACACAATGCAATATACAGATGCTGTATCATAGAATTGTACACTTGAAATCTATGTAATTTTATTAACCAATGTCACCCCAAAAATTTAATTGTAAAGAAAAAATAAATATAAGGGCATTCTGCTTATAACAGTTTTTCCTTATATCATACAGTGTAGTTCTGAAAAACAGAGGACCCTGACTTATGTCCCAGTGTCACCGTTGATTCTGTTTTCTCATCTGTAGAAGTGTTGTTGTGTTTTTATCTCACAGAGAAGTTAATTAAGTGTTAGCTGTCAGGCACACTTGGTTTTATGAATTAAGGTACTGTATATACTAGCAGGTATATGTTCATAAATAGCTGTTGTGGGAACCCGTCCCTTGTGTGGTACCCCAACTCCCCTTCCCATGTTATCCCTGAGTGCAGAAAGCTCCAAAGACAAAGACAAGTATTGAGCTAGATGAAAGGTGCCCGAATCTGAGCCACTGTGCAAAGAAGAGCCACCTAACAGAGAGACGCAACCAGCACAGAATGTGTTCTTTGGCTGGTCCAACAATTCAACTGACAAAAGAGACAGAGTAACAGGAGAAAACATTTAATTTCATATGTATGAGAGCCCCATAAAAATATGAGTCCCAAAGGCAGTCAGGCAATTGAGCCATATATGACATCCTGGGCTAAGGAAGAGGATGGAGACTGGAGCTTCAAAAGGGAGGACGGCAATTCACAGGAAGGTTTATTTGCGGAAGACACTGTCTCACCTTGGCTAGTCCTAGAGGAGTATAACCACCAGATGGAGACCCTCACCAGAATTCTAATTCCTAAGCGATGATTCTGATGTAGAAAGACTGGCAGTGTCCATGTTAAACTTAATGTCTGAATCTGTGGGGACTTCGCCATCTCTTCATTTCACACTGCTTCCTGGACCTATGAGGAGGATTCTGCATGTTCTCTCATTTTATCTACTATTTTCAGATTTTTTATTTTTATTTGTAATTTTTTATTATTTTTATCCTCACCTGAGGACATTGTTCAATTTTTTCTTCAGATAGAGCGGGAAGAAGAGAGAGGAAGACAGAGAGAGAGAGAAACATTGACGTGAAAGGGACACATCAAGTGGCTGCCACCCACATGACCAACCAGGGCCGGGGACAAACTGCAGCCAAGGTACATGCCCTTAGCAGGAACCGAACCCAGGTCTCTCTGGACCGCAGGCCGATGCTCTAACCACTGAGCCAAACCAGCCAGGGCTATTTTCAGGTTTTTAAAAAACAGAATAAACAGCTGGAATAAATAAATAAATAAATAAATAAATAAATAAATAAAATAGCTGTTGTGCAATACATTTTGGAATTGATGCCTATTACTCAGCAAAATGATAAACTCAAAAAACTGAAAGAACATTATAAATTATTATCTTTCCCAATATAAATATACATAAGAGAACCAGAAATGTGAGACTACAACTTCTTCCTAATCATATAACTATTTGGACAATTTCCTGTCCTTTGGCCTAATGTACCTATGGAAATGCCTCTTGAGAATCAGAGAACTGACAACCAATATTACTCCTTAGGCCTTTTTCCTTCCCTAATCCTTATGATGCTGGGGATTTATAATCTATTAAAATGGACCTAGTATCTTTTAATCTGCAGATTAGTTCAAAAGTAAATGAAGGTTGCTTGCTATTTTTTATTTCTTTCTTTCAACATATAAATTTACCTCATCTTGTGGGTAAGTTTTTGAATTAACAATCCTTTCCTAATATAATTCCTAATTATCAGCAACAAGTACTCTAGTTTTCTTAAGAATTTTTTCATTCTAAATTCATTGACTGTCTCATTCTCCTTATAATATGCAAAGTTACAAAAAAAATCATTGGTTAACTTCTAAACTAAGCTAAAAGTAAGATATGAATAGGAAGTTGAACTCAAAACAATTCAAGGTACAAACCTATAGTAACAGATAAATAAGTACTAACATTAATCAATGTATCATATCTTGCTTTTGTAATTATATTAAAAGGTTATATCATTTTCTCAACTAAATTATACAATACAATGCATCTGTATAGTGCCAAAAAGTATGGATGTGCTCATAAAACAAACTGATTGGGGTATGTCAAAGACACATAGGAGTCAACTGAAGGTGGACCCGGTAATCAAAGATGTAACAATTTGAACAATAAAATAAATTACCTGGTATTGGATTATAACATAAAATATAAAAATACCCATGAGTCCGTATTGATATAAATGATTGAATAAATTAATAAGAGGGGAAGAATACACAGATATCCTGCACAGAATTCCAAATAATTTATGTAGATACTCTGCCTTAAACAAAGTATGTAATGACTTCCTACCAAAGAAAACAACATGGAGAAGGAGAAAAATAATTTTACAGTGGAGAAATCTGACAAATACTACTTCAGCTGGGTGATCAAGATTAACATCAACAGTTTCCAAAATGGCGGCAGAGTGAATGGAAGCTACACAGACTGTCTCCCAGGACCAAACTGGAATTAAAACTAAAATAAAGACAAATCGACGGGAAAAAGCAACAGAAAAGCAACTTGCAAAGATCATATCATCAGGGACACTGACTCTATCCTAGTAGGATTGTGGAGGTGCAAGAGGGGGACTGAGAGCCCACAGACAGCAGTGGCCTTAGCTGTGAGCAGCACCCTCGGGTTACACTCCCAAGGGGCTCCACAGCACAGAGCCGAGACAGATGCTAAAATAGCCACAGCCACACACCTTGGGCTCCAGCAGAGGGAGGGTGGACTGGACTGGAACTGTGTGGGGACACTTAGGATTTGGAGAGTGCCCAGAGCTTTTGCTGAGTTGCAGCCACACAGGACAGCGGCCAATTTACTCCTTCCCAGGGCTCTGGGGAGAGGCAGCTGCCCCTCCCTTGGAGATTCAACCCCACCCAGGTGGGCCATTGAAATGCAAATTGAGGCTCACTAACAACCAGCATCTGCCCCACCCTAGGGAAATCCTCTTACACTGAGCACCTGAGGGAGTTTTTCATTCAACTGAGAACCCAAGGCTCTTCAAGTAACCCCTACTGATAGCCTCCAGGCAAAAAGCTAGAGCATAACTATATCATTCCTGGGCTAGCAACTCCAACCAGGAAAGTAAGACTTGACAATGGTATTTAACATGGGTCCTCCGTCTCTCATCCAAACCCAGTAGAGGGAGCCACAAACAGCACAACACCAACACCCACAGGGAAAATTTGGCAGGCTCCAAAGCCCACTGTGATAGCCAAAATGGTGAAACACAGAAACTAAAGCCAAATGAAAGAACAAGAGACCTCTACCAAAGATGAGATAAATGAGCAGTTAAGCAAGATAACAGAGCTAGAATTCACAGCCATGATCTTGAGGAAGCTCAACAGTAAGGGCATAGAGATGTTGAAAATCAACCAATTGGAAATTAAAAACCACCAAGAGAAAAACAAGAATGACATATCAGAACTAAAGAACACATTAGAAGGTCTAAGCAGCAGAGTAGAGGAAGCTGAGGACTGGATCAGTGAATTAGAAGATAGGGTAGAAAAAAATCAACCAATCAGAAAACCAAAAGGAAAAAATGATTAAAAAACAAAAAGACAGCTTAAGAGAACTCTGGGACAACTTGAAACGTAATAATATTCACATCATAGGAGTCCCCGAAGAGGAAGAAAATGAGAAAGGGTTAGAGAATATATTTGAAGAAATAGTGACAGAAAACTTCCCTAATTTGGTGAAGGAAGAAGGCATTAAAGTTCAAGTAGCACAGAGAGCCCCAAGTAAAAAGAACCCAAACAAGCCCACAGCAAGACACATAGTAATTAAAATGCCAAAAATTAAAGACAAAGAGAGAATCCTAAAAGCACCAAGAGATAAGCAATAGGTTACCTACAAAAGAAACCCCATAAGGCTATCAGCTGACATCTCTAAAGAAACACTACAGGTCAGAATGGAATGGCACGAAGTAATCAAGGTCATGAAAAACAAGGATCTGAATCCAAGACTACTCTACCCAGCAAGGCTATCATTCAAAATAAGATCAAATAAAGAGCTTTCCAGACAAAAAAAAAAGGCTAAGGGAATATATTAACCCCAAACCAGCACTGCAAGATATGCTAAAAGGACTGCTGTAATTAGTAGAAGAAATAGGAAGAAAAATAGAACCAAACTAAACAAAAATGGCAATAAATAAGTACATATCAATAATCACCATAAATGTAAATGGACTAAATGCTCCAATTAAAAGACACAGAGTAGCTAATTGGATAAGAAAGCATGACTCACATATAGGTTGTTTACAAGAGACCCACCTCACAACAAAAGACTCACATAGGTTGAAAGTGAAGGGATGGAAAAAAATCTTCCAAGCAAACGGAAAGGAAAAAAAAGCTGGGCTAGCAATACCCATATTTGATCAAATAGATTTCAAAATGAGGGCCATAACCAGAGACAAAGAAGGTCACTACATAATATTGAAAGGATCTATCCAACAGGAAGATATAACCTTGATAAACATATATGCACCCAATATAGGAGCACCAAAATATATTAAATATCTTCTGGAGGACTTCAAAGGAGAAATCAACAGCAATACAATCATAGCAGGGGACTTCAACACCCCGCTGACACCACTGGATAGATCTTCTAGACAAAAAATTAGCAAGGACACAGAGACTCTAAATGAAGCACTAGACCAAATGGATTTAATAGATATCTACAGAGAATTACACACCAAAACTACAGAATTCACATTCTTCTCAAGTGCACATGGGACATTCTCAAAGATAGACCACATAATAGGACACAAACTAAATCTCTACAAGTTCAAGAAGATTGAAATCATATCAAGCATCTTCTCAGATCACAACGGCATGAAACTAGAAATCAATTGCAACAAGAACATGCAAAGACATTTGAACACATGGAGGCAAAATAGCATGTTATTGAACAATCAATGGGTTACCATGG